ATATATATATATATATATATATATATTGCTTTAAATATATCGAAATTCATTTGTTAACTATCGCTTTTCAATAAAAAAATTTATATATAATAAGAAGTTTTTAAATAGATAAAAAATATGTAACAAATAGTAAGAGTGAAAAAATATATTTACGTTCGTTAATCCGCAATATCTTTAAAATCGCTTGAATTTTTCTGTTCTATATTTCTTTGATGTAATATTTCCTCTTTCCAAAACTAATATCAGTTTTTAAATTAGTACCAGAAGATAAACTCCCAAATGGTTTATCGAGACTGATTTTTCGAAGAGGGAGCCGATAGGCACCAGGATGGATGATGTTAGACCCGTCCTAGGGGCGCCCCGTGGTCAAATATTGATATTAGGCCGGACTAAATCGCTCAGCTATGCTAACAGATTAGAACATACGTGCGCTACAGCAACAGCAATTGCACGATAAGGAAAGATCTGTTGAAATCGAAATATTTATGTTAGCGTCAATTAGCGCGATTAATACGTCGCAAAATTATAAGTGTCGTCGTAATAAGTGTTTCAACCGCGGTATTATTATAAAACACAGCAAGACGACTGGCAGAGCGCGTTTAACTGCAGCATGAAATGCAAGAAATGTCACTCCTCGTGCGGATATAACTGGTTGGTGAGTAAAAAAAAAACAAAAAAAAAACACTGACAGTTCCATTACCTCCGGTACGTGCGGCCGGGCCAGGTTGTGCCGATCTATTTCGGGGGGACTAACTAAGTTCAGCGTCTGTTTCTCATTAAATTGCGCTCTGACCTCGAATCCTCTAAATTTGGAACGGCCACGCCGATTAGATGCATATTCATCGCGACGCGGCAATCCCAAAGTTGTAAGCCATTCATCGATAAACGATTGGCGAGAGATGCGTGCGCGCTTGTGTCGAGTTACGTGTGATACGGTAATCGTAATAGATAGCCAGACAACGAGAATGTTTTATGACGTTGTGAGATACGAAATACGCCCAACTTCTTTTCAAATACCCTTCAGATATCCGTGAGTTGTCATTAACATTGTTGTGAGTTATCATTAACAGAATTACGCTCGCTTTATTCTTTTATCTTCTGTGTTTCTACTTTTTCCAGAATTCTAATTCTGCAAATATACTGTCTAAATTGTGAGACTCTCGATTCTTTGGTATCTTCGCACGTATATTTGGATACCTTGAAGATGTTTACGCATTGTTTGATATATTTTAACAGCGGATAATCAGCGGAGACTATCAAATAAGAAGGCAAATATTATCACAAGATATGACGTAAAACGGCAAACTTCCTAGTCCACGGCTATTTTGCACGAGAGGAATGTTGATTGCGCGATATTGGCTCCCCGGAATCCCGGCACGGTATAAACGAACACGCGGCAAGTACCACGATAAATTAGCCGTGTAATGGCCGAACAATAACAGTATTTATTATTAATAACGAAGCGTCGGGCGTTGTTATTAGTTTCAAGAAATTAGACGGCGCGATTCCGCGTGGGATCGCGCACGTGTTGGAAAAAACAAAATATGCGATGCCATGCACGCGCGACATAGTATCTAATATAATGGAAGCGATAATTTTCAGTTTATTTATGAGTGGCTATCGCTATCAATTCTTCAACATGATAAGCAGCGATATGCGAAAAAGCCTACGTTTCCGTGTTTATTTAAATAATGTCTCTTAAATACCGAGAATACTTCTCGTATTGCCGGAGAAAGGAATTTTTTTTTTTTTTTTTCCTTTTCTTCACTTAATGGAAATTTTTTTAATATTTCTCCTTCACTTTCGTACGACAGATAGTGGGTGTGTCTTATTCGAGAGAAGTAAATTCACAACTTACCGTCTGTAGTCGGCTTTGCAGAGAATCATGCCACTTTTGGTGTAGCAGGATTGGCCGACTTCTCCCAATACCACGCTGCATAACGTGCATTTGAGGCAGCCGATGTGCCAATACCGATCCATTGCTAGCAACAGCCATCTTTCCATTATTTGATGATTGCACTGGGCGCATACCCGAAGGCCGGTTGACCCGCTTGGAACGCCTTCCTGCTGCAACACAAAATTTTTCTTTCGTTAATTTATTGAGCAAATGCGCATGCTGAAACACGAAGTTTAAAAACAATACACTAGATTATTATATATCAGTTGTGACTAATGGCGCGCGTGTATTTTCTTGTCTCAGGACAATGCGAAAGAAATTATCGGTTACGAAACGCGAACATGTACAATAGACGACGATGATAAGAAATATGTTAAAATATGACGTACGGAGAGTTGCAACACATCTTAGAAATCGTTTCTAACCCATTATAAATAGAAATTCAAGCATCGTGGTAATTAATGCGAAACAGAAAGTCATTAACGGGCACTAAATCATTACAGCGTCTTAAGTGCGCGCTTATTATGAATGCTTACTCGTGATTATGCAAACGCACGTAGGCGAACGTAACTCTTCGCTCGCGGGATTTACAACTTACTCGCTAATTTCACTTTGAACAATGTTGCTCAATACTAGATTATTACTAAAACTTCAGTTTACCATTAAATCAACGAAACAACTGCATTAATTTTGTACACAATAATACTTCTTTGTTATATTTAATTAAAATAACGGAGGAAAGTAAGGATCTGTAGAAAGCATGAAAGTAATTGTTTTATTACAAGTAATTATATTATTTGTTTCAAAGAAGACATTCTGTGGTTAACATAATTTTCTTCTAATTGAAGACGCGCTTTCGAAATTTTAAAATCACTGTAAAGTTTTTACACGGGAATAGTGTTCTTTTATATATATTTTTATTTTTCTCATTATTTTGTGTTTAAAATTATTAATTATATTTATAAAATGATTTATAAATTCTCATTACTTTGCGTATAAAATTGATAAAATAAAATAATTGGAAATTGAATATTTTATATATTTCATATTACATTCAGATACAAAATGCTAATCACAGAATGTCGACTTTGAAACAGAATAAAATATCTTAAAATATCTTTAAAATATCTTTTTGAAGAATCAGTATTTTAGTTGATGTTCCGTTTGAAATGAAACACCTTATATATGCGCGCGTCAATATACATGCTTTATGTATATACATTTACACATTTATACAGACACATGAAATTGTATAAATTATAGGTATTAAGTACCATTAGCGAGAGTGCATATACATATCTACACACACACACACACATACACATAACACTCACGTATCTATTGATATAGTAATCTCATGGTATAGAGGATGACTTTCAACTTTTAATGTCTACACGTGCAGTTATGCGACTAGTACGATACGGTACGATAGACATAGCAATGTTCGTTCGGTTTACGCGAAAGATACAAGAACGAATGCGTTAATTGTCGACGAACGTACTTGCGGAGAGCGCCGTTTCCCGCAAAAATTTCGTCCATTTATACATATGCTTACTTTGACTTCCGTCTTAATGTTCGTGAACCAGGGTTTATCCATCCGCGATGTAATCGTATTGTAGTGATACGGCTGATATTGGACCTCCATGATGTTACTCACAGCACGAAGAGAGAGAAAAAAAACAATGAAAACACGATCTCGGGCCGCACAGATTCACTCCGGCGAATGATATCACTCGGCCTCCAACAAGTTCCCGTTGCGGCTCGCACTCACTTTCTCCCACCGCGATTTGCAGAATTCGCAAGAATCCGGCGAATTCCCCCCGAATTTTACGGCTCTACGGCGACGGAACGAAGCACTACACCACAAGCGACGAACAAACCTCACGAAACTCGCTGTTCTCGGCGACGCGTTCTCTGCGCAGTGCAGTCATGGACGCGGGTATAGAAAGGAAACTGAGAGAACGAAACGAAGCGAAGCGCGGACGGGACCCAACTGGCGCTGCGGGCCCCCGAATGCCTTGCGGGCCTGCGGGTTCAGGTACCTTAGCCGAGTGGGGAGGATAAAAAGGTGAGCCTAGAAACGATCCAACCAACGTTAAAAGGGAACGCGGGATAAAGACGGCAAGAGGGATCGGTGAGGTGAAGGGGAAGGGGTCTGAGCGGTCAGGAAGGGAGGTGAACGGAGGACTCATTCGTATGGCAGAGAGAGAGAAAGACCCAACGGTGGGGAAGGGGGGAGAATGAAGGAAGGGGATCCTTTCCATAGTACCAGTTGAGAGAAAAAGAGAATGGGAAAGAGACAAGGAACGACGTGGAGGCGCGAGAGGGGAATATTCTGGGACAAGTTCCCTAAGTGCTGCCGAGTCTTACAATGTTGTGTAAAGCGAAAGTTGCGGCAAATTTTTCAATACGTTACATGTGCGTTTACAATATACAGCGATAAACTAAGTGAAAAACAAAGAAAAGTAAGAAAGAGAAAAGGTACGATATGAAAAAGAAGACAAGAAGAAGGGACAGAGATAGAGTTAAGAAGGAATATAAAGATGGAAGAGCAGAAAAACACGGGAATCTGAAACGATGAAAAACATAGAAGAAAAGATGCAAGTACAAAAGTCTCTTGGAGCGAAGAACTTAAGATTACAAAGCAGAGTGATAGAGAAGCGAGTGGAAGAAGTGACGGAATTAAAATAACAAACAAGCCCATAAAAGCCTACAAAGTTTCCAAATAAAAAATATTGATTTTTCTGATTTCCAAAATCGACAGGACAATATTGGATGATAATTCTAACGCGTTTCACAAAACAGAAAAGTCTACAAATTTAAGATTTTTGTTTTCATATTCAACATGCTCATCTTCTTGAACAATCATTTTTTTCTCGGAAAAAAGATAAACTGCAATCTTAAAAATTTTAATAATAAACATCAAACCTTGTACGTGACAAAAGAAATAAGCGAAACCCGCGGTAATTAAATAAAAAAGCTAAAAGGATAAAGCGATAAGAAAATATCAAGTTAAAATTTTAGATAATAAAAAAAGCCTCTAATAATAACAAACATGAAAAAGCAATTCACGAAATAAAGCAACAGATGTACGCGTCTATGAGTACTCATACAAAAGCCGGAAGAAAGAGAAAGAAGAGAGAGAGAGAGGGGAGGGAGGAGGGGGGGACAGACAGGTAAAGCAGAAAGATGTAGAGGGAACCACATGGGCCCCTCCGCCCCAATTCAATTATATTTCTCCATCATAAATGCCTATATTGTTACGTTTGTCAATGGTGGGGTAAATGAGGGTCGGACGGATGGATAATATCTGCTGAATTGTAGCCTGTGACCCTATATTATACCAGTTTTCTTTGTGAGAAAGGGCCCCGATGCCGCGTCTTTGAAACTATCTGTATTGCTTCACTTCATCGCGCGAGAAATCGAATTTCGGATCGAGCGCAATATAGAGAGAGAAAAAAAAAAGACCGATATTTAAAATAATACGTATCACAAAGCGCGCGCATAAAATATACGAATAATTATACAAAACTTTCTCTCCAAGGTCTCCGATAATGATGCCAGTGATACTCACTTTGAGCGTGCAGTTATTGTTGTGATTGACCGGTGGATACGCGGGGTGTCCCGGCATGTGCGGATGGGGATGCCCAGGGTGATGTGGATGGTCCTGCATCATGCCGCCGCCACCGTGATGATGCCCGTTGCTGCCCATGCCCTGTCCAGGCTGCAGGGTCGCATAGGGAGTGGCGGGATCGCCGGCACCACCGGCGTGCGAGGGTGAGTGCGGGCTGGGTAAGTCGGGGGTTGTTGTCGTACCGCCGCCACCGCCTCCTCCTCCGCCAGTCCCGTACGCGTGATGCGGCCCGCCGGGCCCCGAGTGATGCGGACTGCCCGAGAGCGAGGGATGATGGGGATAGGCTGCGGAATGGCCCGGATGGTGGGGGTTCATACCAGCGGTTAGCGCGCTCGCCAGTTTGACCGATGAGAGGGTGGGCTCAAGGAGCCCACCAACAGCTTCCAACAGCGAAATAAAGACTATTTCGTCCTGGAGCCCGGGCTTTTCTTCCGGTACTTGGGTGAAATCTGCAACAGTAAAAAAAAAACACATGCTCTTCAGTTGATTTCAATATGAATTTTTCATTCTTATTAAAAGTAATTTAACGGAATTTAATTTAATTTCTTTTAATTCTTATTCTTTAATTTAGTATAAAATCGTAATTGTTGCACAAAATTAATATAATATCTTTTTGTCTTTTAATCTTTTGTATCATTATCGCTATATTGAAAAAAGTTCTACTTATAACCGGCACGATATTCAGGTCGGACTGGAAAATTTTAAATCCGAAAAAATAAAATTAAATTCGTAAAACTTGACCTATCCTTTGTCGAAAACTACGAAACCGGCAAGTGTGACCACGCGTAGCACGCCCACTTTAATTAACAATAATCGTCTTTCTTCGCAGCTCAGCGGGTGTGCTGATTAACGGTCCATTCAAAATTTCTGTCTTTTTTTCCTTCGTAACGAGCGGCCTTTATTCAGTCGGTTTTAAGGGCGGAAGATACCGAATTCCTTCTCGCCAGGCCTCGGTATTTTTTTTTTCCCTTTACAAAACTGACCGATCTGTCATGTGCGTGCACATAATGATTGATGAATAATGAAAGAGCAATTATCTCCTTACGGCGGATACTCTGAATTCGTCTTCACCGGCGCGTGTAATATTGAAAAATTTTCTTCTTACACGAAAGCAGCTTGTCCCGCGCGTGTTATCCCGATAAATGCAGTTCCACTGTACGCGGGGAAAGTAAAAATGTCAGTGTGCGACGTCGGTGGGAGAAAGTAATTAGCGCGCGCGCACTGAGGCATATATTATTCCACGATGCAGACGCACATCGGTACATCGGAACACACTCAGGCTCTTAATACGTATTTAATTAAGTATGCCGGGGCAGAGAACGTAGGAGGACGAGCGAGGGGGGTAGGGCGGGCGACGGGGGAGTTTATAGTGGATATCAGTATGGGCAACCATAACTCTCGCGCCTCTACCGGGCGAGCAGCGTGCCACTTATGCGAGCACCTACCGCGATGGAATTTCATCCTCGCCGTTACCACATAAATCTCCGACGCATTAATGCCCTTACGGACCCGCTCGCTCCGCGTTTCTGCGTGTCGGCTGCTTCTTAATACGGTTACTTAGATTCCGCGGCTGTCGCGCGCGGCACTCTATTCATGAGTGCCACCGATTCGGATTATCACGGATCATCGCGTTTAACTCTTTTCAGTCGCACACGTGCAAACACGCCGTTTTAATTTGCGAATTTCAACGCGACACTCGGCGGCGGACACTGGTTTCGCGTCCTTACACGCCGCCGTACCGAAAAACGCAAACTCCACTTGCGTAATTGTCGATCGATGACACTTTGCGAAACAGTTATCTAAAATAAATAATTATAAGGCTTGTTCGAAAAGCGTTAGAGTCTCGTCTTTTGAACTTTGTGCAATGATATCGGCTATTAAATCGATCCGCGACGACGAGTGATCCCGATTTTGGGCGGCACCGGCCGACGGGGCGGTCACACGATCCTTGCGAAGCACGTGCAGCGACAAAAAAATTTCATTACTACTGATCAGATGGCCGGCTTGAGCAGGTAGCGTAATAATAACGTAACGCCTTACGCAAGCCACGTTTACTCATAAATGGTGGTTTGCGCGTCGAATTTTTAAAATACCATAATTCGGCGGAAAATGAATTTTCCGCGCGCTCCGCATGCTTTTATCGTAACACGTTGCAATAATAATGTGTACATTTATGTAAAGCGTAAAACAATGAATTATAAAATATAAAAAGGTCTTATCTGATAATTATAAAGTATGCTTCGCGCCGTTATGTAGTACTGAAAGGATTAATGCCGTTTGTTTATCTATAATTGGCGATATTGATTTAACCACACGTTTAATCAAACACGTCTATCGCGATCGATCGTAAATCAAGGTGACTATACATTACGATGCACTTTAGGTCGCGAACAAAAGCTGTAGGATTGCCGTAGCGACGAGTAAACCGAAAACAAACAGATAGCAGTTCGGATCTATCAAATCGCATCGAGGTCGAATATCGATTTGGCTGTCAATATAATTTCAAGTATCAATGTTCCTCATTGTTCGTTATCAACGCGCCCCCACACGCTCGCGAGGCCTGACCTCTCCGGAGACGCTCGCCACTCCTCGCGGAAACGCGATGGCCAAACGATAACAAGATGATAACGAGGGAATACACCGGTAATTACTGGAATGATAATGACGAGGAGAACGACGAAAGCGCGTGGGTAAGGAGGGAGAGGGGGAGGGGGGAGAGGGGGGGAAGACGAAAGAGAAGGATGGAGGAGGGCGATCGGCTGCGATAGGGATAATTAACGATCGCAATCGTACGAAAATGAGGACAGGGCGAGTGCGACGACGACGATAACGAGCGGTCCAGCGATCTTATTAGCGATAAGCGTCGATAACGAGGACGCCCCGTTCTATAGGACAGCGAGCGGAAAGAAAGTCAGCCTAAGGATTAATGGCGATCCTCAGTCGGCGGGGGAGAAATGTTACATTCCGGTGAATAGGATCAACCCCTTGGCGGCGATTTGCTTCCGCCACTGTTCAAGGTCGTCCACGATATCTCGCCATTTTAGACGCGATTCCGCGCGGCAGGCGCACGCGTGAAATTAATTTTCGAATTAAATTACATGAGATACAAATCGATACAGAATTAATTGTATCTGCGAGAAATTTTGTTGACGCAGAAAAGGACGGAAAGAAGGAAAAAGCGCGCACAAATCTTCCCTCCTGTCGAAGAGAATTTTCTTCGACTCGTCGCGATTTACAGCACCCGCATCCCGATTGAATTTAAATATTTCTGGATCTGACGAACTCTTTCACGAATTGCCAGATCGTAAAAGTCTTCCTCGCCCACAGTTCATCCTCCCCCGCCTCGTACGATCGCATCGCCGGGAACTGCTGTTTCATTGGGATCGGCAGTATTACGAAATCGTCGGGCGTTGTCTTAAGGACCAATAAAATGGCGCGGGATGGCCCGCGTAGTCTCGCGAAATTAATATCAGCGCGGCTACGGTTTCATTCCGAGACGTTAACCCGCCGTGCACGTCTTTACGAGTCGAGGGCGCACAGACGCATTTTGAGGGACTCAATCCTGAAATAAAAGACATCATTCCGAACGAGGAATATCGATCGATAATCGAATTGGAATGCTTCGTGCTTCTTCATTTAATTATTCATCAGGTATCCGAAAAGAGCATTATATACGTATTTTTACACGTGCCATTCTTCTTGTATAAATAAAAAAACAGCCTTTTTAGAGTATAATTCCACTTATTAGTGTATAATTTTCCTTGGACTGACCGTATATATTGTATATATATATATATATTCGCCGTCCCCTAGCACTGGAAAGTGCAACTCTGATTATTACTAATAAAAGACATGAGATTGTGCCAGCCCTCAAAGGGACTCCGGTAATGATGACCAAGACTCGCCTTCGGGCTTTCCATCTTCCAGTTCTCCGGTAATAATACTTTACGCGAAAGGTTCAAGAATTCCGCTGCAGCTAGTCGGCGACAATAAAATAGAGTATTTGTACCTCGTAATAAACCTTCAAGTGGCATAATGAACACCCTTGAGCCCACAAGTACTAAAAACGTATTCTGGAGGCGCGTCAGAACCAATCAACGTGAACGTCGTGGAACTATGAAAATTATGATCACTTTGTCATCGCGAGAATGTCGAGGAAAATTTGTATCCAGAATTTCTGGAAATTTGTTATGACCATTTCCAACTATTAATTTATCTCATTAGTTCGTCCGTATCCTTCTGTATAAATAAAAGCCAGTGCGGCACGGTTTTTATCTTATACCGGCGAGTAAAATAAAATTCGTTCCCCTCGCTTTTATCTCGTATAATAATAAATTCACACACACGCACACACACATCGAGCCCGTATTTAAGACAGCCTACAATGTTCTAATCTCCCTTTTCGAGAATATCAAACATCTTAGATTATTGCCAGGTCCCGTACGAAAAAAAACATGGTCATTCTCTTAGGGCGCGCCCGAGGCGAGCAGGGATCGATGTGGGGATGTAATGATAAGTTCAGACCGGTAATCACTGGCGAGAGAGGGACAGCGCTGGAAGACACTGAAAATAATCTAATTATTGGCGGGGACGATTATAGTGATTAGGCGCGTCGCGGCGGCCTCTTTCCTGTTTGCCACGCACGGCCCACCTATTATAAGTGTATCCTAGGAGGGCGCACAAATGAAAAGGCGTGCGCGCGCGCGCGCGGGCAAGCGCGAGCGCAAGCCCGAGCTCTTCTCTCTTCGGGGAACAGGCGAACGAAGAGAGGAACAACAACGAGGAGGGACCACGGCACGCAATTACTGAGGAATTCAGACGAAGGAAGAAAGCGGCTTTCTTCCATGTATTGGCCCGCGATGTTCGCTGAATTCGTTTGACGCGATTCTTACTCTTCGAAATTTCAAATCGGAACAATTCGAGCGCGAAGTTGTTCTTTACCGTTCTTCCTCGATCTTCGATAGTCGGACTTGGTTTGTTAGCTCCTCAGAGATTTTTAGGTTCATTACTCTTTACGTTCTTAAATAAGGATACTATGCACCGGTGAATCCCTCATTTTTATGCTTTTAGAACTTCGCAGAAGTCTCGAATGACACTCGGGAAAAAAAAAAAAAACCGTAACGAGATAAATAGGGCAAATATAAATACGCGTTTACGCGTGAGTCTTGCATAATTTTCAAAGTTTTGGAAAAAGGGATAAGATACGTGTCACGATGATTAGTCGGTGAAACATCTTACATATACCAGGCGTATCGGATGTTATGGTCGGTTCACGTGGCGCGAAGTAACAAGCCGTCAACGTCGGATATTTATGGGGCGGCGTCAAAGGTCGAACCTAGTATCGCCAAATACGCACTGCTGCTATTCCGTCCCGAATAACAGTTTTGCACTTTATACACTTAACGTCTCGCGCGCGTCGATTTCGCCCCTGCGGAAACGAGCGAAGTGA